GCTAGGAGCTGGAACCAACTTCCTAGGGAAGTGGTGCTGGCTCCTACCCTGGGGATCTTTAAGAAGAGGCTTGATGACTACCTGGCTGGACTCATTTGAGTCCAGTCTTTTCTCCTGCACAGGGGTGGGGGTCAGACTTGAAGATCTACAAGGTCTCTTCCAACCCTACTTCTATGATTCTATGACCTTTCCAGCTTTCCTCCTAAAGAGTCTACTGTTTCAAGCAGTCGTCCCCACACTGATGTTATTTCAACACCTGAAAGCGTTTTTCTTTATGGTAGGCAGAGTTTTAGGGAAAAGCATTTTCAGAAATCTACTTTAGTAGCGGGAAGTTGGCACCCAAGGCACAGGCCTACTAGCCATACTACGTAATACTTATGTGCATGGTTTGACTTCTGCCTTACTAAAACTAGGAACATTAAAGGCCATGGGGATGAACTGACTAACCAGTATGGAAAACGTTTTCAGTCAAACTATTAAAGTTTGCCAAAATTTATAAACAACTGAAAACAAGGTCTTGTAATGGAAAATGTCTGGCTGCTTTAAAAGATGGTGGTATGACTTGTTCTGATTAGAATTGCATACATTTCACCAGAATTAACATAACATAACTTTCTTGGCACTTGGTGGGGGTGGGAGCGCAGATTGCGTGTTTTGAAAATGATTTCTAAAAAACAAACAAGTCTCTTAATTAACCTCAGTAACCACCCAAGTATGAATTTTAAGATAGTATGTATATCAATTCTTTTCTTGTCTCGGCCTATATATCTGTTCTCATTTGAATTCATGGTGTCTTAATTGTGTTTTTCTTGCCATTTCCTTTGTCTTCTGTTGTTCAAATTAAAACTTGCTTCACAGAAAACTCTAGGCTGGGGCCTACCCTTCATCTCTTAATCAGGTGCCCTCCCATTCTGCCAGAAATCTTTGTTGTAAAATGAACTGCTTTTATGAAAACTTTCTAGCAGGTCTCTAAAATTTCCATGAATTGTCCTGAATTTGTACAGAGTAAGCCTTTTATGAGATGCCAAATATCTCCCTATATTTTCAGTAATTTGCAATTTTATATTGCAATGATGAAATAGTAATATGTTTGTTGAAAAGTCAAGCTACCAGAAGTGAATCTTCTGTAAGATTTAATTCACACTGATTACTTTTGAATGTACATTTGCTGTCACTTGCTCAACCTACAATGCCTTTTGTTAGGGAAAACCAAAACTGCATATATTGTTATTAGGAGGGTTCTTCTGCTATTACTTCATGAATGAATTGAAAAAGCTAGATAATCGGGCATTAACCTTCCAAAAATGTGAATTTTTGAGGTCTGAAAAGAGACTTTAAATGGGCATTTTATGTTTTCGTAGCGTAGATGCAGTGTAGTTGGAATTGGAATTTTTATATAACTCAGTCTGAATGTTTTGGGAACATATTTGACACACATTTTTGTGATTTAAAATGGATTTTGGTTTCCTTCATAGATTTCATAGACATTTGGGCTGGAAGGGACCCCGGAGGATCATCAAGTCCAGCCCCCTGCCCCAGGGGCAGGAAGTCAGCAGGGATCATAGGATCCCAGCAAGATAAGCATCCAAATGTGCCTTGAAGGTGTTCAAAGTAGGTGCTTGAACCACCTCCAGTGGCAGTCTATTCCAAACCTTGGGGGCTAGGACCATGAAGAAGTTCTTTCTTACGCCCAGCCTGAACTGAATTTTGTTTATTTGGAGATGATGAGAGAGATCCTGCACACTTTTCATAATGGATCTGAATGGATCTCTGTTTTAGGGGACAAGAAAGCAAAAAAGAAGCTGACGCAGCAGACCCTTATTCCCTGAACACCAAGCTCTGTTTTGGGGGTCTCTCCTTGTTCTTGCATTCAGGGAAAGTTTTTAGTTGAGGAGGATGCTTATATCCGTAGTTATGTAGCTTTCATGCAGAAAAAGCCTAAATGAATAGGTGAGCACAGTAGTCAGAGGCTATTCCAATTAGGACCAAACACTGTTCCTATCAGTTTTGTACAATACGGGCTTTTAATGCTGTATAAACACTTAAGAAACAAAGTAGCTAAGTCCAAAATAGGTTTCCTCTAATGAAAGAGGTAGAGATCCTGTGAGGTTAATCTTGAATGTTTGTATTTAGCCTTCCCATTTTGCAAAACAACATGGAACCTAGAGGTAGATTGGATATAGGATTCAAGTAATGACTTTTGAAGCTAGACTGCCTCAAAAAAAATGTTTCTTTAGTTTTTTTGCGTATTACAAATAAACCATGAAATCATTTTGGAATGTCTGGGTTTTCATATAAAAAGATGTTTGCCTTAATGCAGCTATTTTAAGTTGATGATAATTATTATTAACAAATGACCTCTGGCAGGTTAAACATTTTCTTGTTTTTGTTTTTCCCAGCAGAAATTTTTATCCTTTTAACTATAGTATCAGCTATAGTTTTAAGCATTTTACAAGATGGTGCTATAAATCTACAATGTTTTCTCACTTCCTCTGTGGTTTTCCAGGCTCCCATCCCAAAGAGTGCACTTGTCCCTGTGATACCCATCACCAAATCAGCAGGCTCCCGATTCCGAAACAGCATAGAGGGCCTAAACCAGGAGATTGAGATAATAATTAAGGAGACCGACAAAGAAGAACAGCTTATTGTGAGTATCAGTTGTCCCCAATGTTCTTCAAAATAAGGTTGGTTGATGATTTTTTTTTGGGGGGGGGGGGGGGGTGTTTTGGGTTTGTTTTTTTTTTAAAAAAATTTGGGGAAACCAGAAACCCAAAAAAAAAGTTTTTTTTGTTTTTTTTTTTTGGGGGGGGGGGGGGCGTTGTTTTGGGTTTGTTTGTTTTTTAAAGAAATTTTGGTTCTGCTTCAGTCTTCCACAACTGAAGCAGTACAAAAGATTTTTAGGGATGCACCAATAAAGATTTTCTTGGCCAATACCGATAGCCAATTATTAAGCAGCCATAGCGTTCAATACCGATAAACAATTTACAGGAATGCAGCCAGGCAGCGTGGAGAGCAGCTCCATGCAGGTAAGTCTGTGGAGGGGAAGGGGTTTTGGGGGCATAGATCAAGGTCCCCACAGCTGGGGAGGGAGTTGGGGCAGGGAGCGCTGCCCAGCCAGGGTAGTGAATGGGACCTCTGAGGCCAGGGTGGGGAGTGGGATGAAGCCACAGGCAGCTCATCCAGAGGATCAAGTGCCACTGCCTCCATTTTTAAGTGTGGGGACACTTTTAACTGGAGCAGAGCATGGTGAGGGCGCATGCAGGCTGCCCACTGCGGATTTGGGGCTCTCTGCTCTTCTGTCTTTGTCCCAGGAGCCCCATACCAGCTGTACACCCTTTGGCCACCTGGCAGTGTGGGGCACAACTCGCCATCCCCACTGTTGCCAGGCAGGCAGGAGGCACGTGGCTGTCATGGGGTTCCTGGGGGGAAAGGCAGCAAAGTGGAGAGCCCTGAGCCCACAGCCAGCAGCCCGCATCCACTCTGTGCACAAATCTTAGAAGTCGCATGCTCCCCCTGGTGCCTTCCCTTAGGGGTGTGCTAGGCAGTGGGGAGCCCTTCCCCCACACCCCCAGGACAAGCCACCCGCAGCTCCATCTCACTCCCCACCCTGGCCCTGGGTCCCATTTACCACCCTGGGGCATGGGGGAGAGAAGGGGTGTGGTTGTGAGGGGTACAAATCAAAGCCCAAGGGAGGGAGGAGCACCCCCTGCCCCCCTCCCCTCCCTTCCTCCCTCAGGCCTCAATCTGTCCCCCAGCAGTACCCCTTTCCCTCCACAGGCTTACCTGCAGGGCGCTGCTCTCCACACTGCCCAGCTGAGTTCTGGCCACATGCATGCATGCAGCTGCACACATGCACACAGCATCCATGGGTTCTCGCCAGAAGGCATATTATAGAATCATAGAACCAGAAGGGACCTGTAAGATCATCAAGTCCAGTCTCCTGCCATGGGCAGGAAGTTATTGGGCTCAGATGAGCTCAACAAGGTATTTGTCCAGTCTTATCTTGAATACCTCCAAGGATGGTGACTGCACCACCTCAGCTGGCAGTGTGTTCCGGATTTTGGTGACCCTTTCAGCGAAGAATATTTTTCTTACATCCAGCTTGAATTTACCTTCTATTAGATTATGTCCATTGGTCCTTGTCCTCCCTTGAGGTGCCTTCCTGAAGAGTTGCTCCTCCAGATTCTGATGCTCACCCCGATGTACTTGTAGGCAGCTATCAAGTCACCTCTCGCCCTTCTCTTACTCAGACTGAACAGGCCCAGTCTCTGGGGTCTTTCTTCATAGGGCCTATCCTCCATGCCTCTAATCATATGGGTGGCCCTTCTTTGTACCCTCTCAAGCCTATCCACATGCTTCTTGAAGTGTGCCTAGAACTGGACACAGTACTCCAGCTGTGGTCTTATGAATGCCAAATAGAGAGGGAGGAGCACCTTCCTGGATCTATTGGCAACACATTATAGTTTCATAGTTGGTAGGGTCAGAAGGGACCTGAGCAGATCATCAAGTCCGACCCCCTGCCATGGCAGAAAAGAGTACTGGGGGTCAAATGACCCCAGTGAGTTGTTCGTCCAGCCTCCTCTTAAAGACCCCCAGGGTAGGAGCCAGCACCACTTCTCTTGGAATAACATTAGCCTATGCACACCAGAGTTTTATTATATTTATCAGTGAACATTATTGGCTACACTGGCCAAAAAAAGCCAATAACTGATTAGGTTAATTTTCCTTTTATTGGTGCTGATACAATATGCAACCAGTATAAATCGGTGCACCTCTAAAGATTTTCCTGAAGCATGAAGGGGGAAGGTAAAAGATTTAAAAGGATGTTGGCAACTTCTGCAGTTGTAGAAGACTGTTAATTATTGATAAACTTGACAATTAGTACAGTAAATCAATAAAGAAGAAACATTTTCTACCTTTTATGTTGGAGAATTGCTTTAAATGTACCTCTGTGGTCCCCCCACACCTCTTCCTTCAAAACTCTAGAAATTTCTTACATGAATTTGTTTTCAGCAAGTCTGATTTAACAGCAACAAGAAAGGACCTGTTCATATTTAGTAGGTTATGCTTTTAGGAATTGTCTACTCTCCTGAAGTATTTTGGTGGAGTCTGACATGTACCTAATTTTCTTCAGGTTTATACTCTGCTGGACAAAATTTAAGAAACTGCTTAAGATATAAAATAGAGGCCTGATGAATATGTTCTGTTTATAACAGCCACAAGATATTCCAGATGGGCATCGTGCTCCACCTCCAGTGGTCCAGCGCAGCAGTAGTACTCGCAGCATTGATACCCAGACACCTGGTGGTGCAGATAGGAGCAGTAACAACAGCAGCCGCTCACAGTCTGTGTCCCCCACCTCGTTCCTCACCATCTCGAATGAAGGTAGTGAAGAGAGCCCATGTTCTGCAGATGACCTTCTTGCTGACTCCAGAGATAAAGGTGTGGCATAAAAGGGTTCTGCTTTTACAGTATTTTAAATATGAAGCATATAGTATTCAGGACTTCCTTGCAGTGCACTGTGTTCAGGATGGATATTCTTCAGGATGGACTGTGTGTAGTATACATTACCTCCCTCAGTATAGTGACTGGAAGGAAAGAGGGAGATCTTTCTATTTTCCAGGTCCTTAAGTATGTTCAGATGTGCTCTGTGTGTGTATGTACGTACAGATACCATTGTCTGCAGTAGGAAAAATTCTGATAGAGCTTGCAGCATTACTTAGTTTCTAGAGAATTCAAGAACAATGCATGCTAAGCTTCCGTTTTTGAGATGGGCTCTACCTCTGCAGACTGAGGTGCATATCATCACTGTGGGCCGTATCTTTAACACCCCTGCTTTAGGTGGAGTTTCTGGAACATGACTGAGATCTGTTTGATCAGCAGCTCCTCTTAGAACCCATTTTCTTTTCTTTTGGTTTTGTACTGAAGTACATTCTTTCCTCCTCCTGCTCCATCTCTGTTTTATTAAGCAAAAGGTAGGGTATGGTGGTACCTTTTGGTGGATGAAGTAGGTTTTTGCCTACAAAAGCTCATGCCTCTCTGAACCAATTAATTTCTAATGGCGCTTTTACACATGGTCTGGGGGTGGGAAAGGCAGTGCTTTAATTAGTGGCTTCGAGAACCGCTCTAAAGCGCCACTGCGTCTCATGTATCAACATTTCTGCACTTAAAAAATGGCAGTGGGGGTGCTTGAACTAAAGCTCGTTCGAGCTTTAATTCAAGTACCACCACCGCCATTTTTAAAGTGCGGGGGTGCTGATACACAAGATACAAAAAGCTGCTGGAGCACTGTAATTGCCATGCTCCAGCAGACTTAGTTGAGTCTACTTCTGTGCGCTGAATTCCAGTGTATCAGACCAGCCTCTGCGTTCATGTATAAGTGCCTAAGATGACACTGCCCTACTTTCTGCCTGACTTCAGAGAAACAGGGCTAAGTGCCTCTCATCGTTAGTGAAGAAATCTGAGGCTTCTTCAGCCAAGTGAAACTCCGTTTCCCTCTTACTTCTTCCTGGCCTCCTCTTTGACTGCCAAAACAGTTTCCTCCATATCCTGTTTTTTAAGCTGTGTCACTCCTTTAATTTTCCCCATGGATGGGGAAGCTAAATACCATTTTTTGCATAAGGGAGATTCATATCCCCATGGAGTGTGCTATTTGTAAGTTGTTCACTTCCCTAGTCAGGGAAGATGGATGAGGCCAAGCTCCAGGTTTACCTTTGGGGTTAGCCGCTGGTCCTGGAGTGCAGAACTCAGGTGGGTATAGACCTTCCATAAGTATGAGTTTCTTCTCTTATCATTGGTGGCAGAGAAGTCTTCAAGTGAGTGTAGATGCAGGAATGATTGAAGCGAGAGTTACCCATCTCGAGAGTTTAAAGTCTGTCATCTATCTCAGATTTTGCAGTCTTACATGGATCCCAACAAAACTTGGCAGCATCCAAGACCATGCGCTTGTTCTGGAGTCAACCTTTTTCATACTTAAGAAGCACAAGGATAAGCATCTGAGATGCTATGCTCTACAGTTTCTTTTTCAGCTGTGTGTCATATGTCTGACACTTCAACATCAAATTCCACAGTGGCATCAGTGCTGGCTGCTCCATAAGGAAATTGTGCCTCTTAGTACATTCCTGCTTTGTTCTGTCCACCCATCTCAGTATCTCTGCAAGTGCCCCTGTTTCATGACTGTGAATGACATAAAAATCCACCCAGAACTTGAATTTCTGCAAGGATGATATCAACTGTAGATCCTTCAGGCCTGCATTTTCTGATTCTAATCAGTTGAGGGCCTTTCAACACCATCAGTTGAGGTGTTTTCAACTCTCCATTTTTCTTTGACTAACTCAGGATGTTGTGGTTACAAGAGCAGAGAGAGCTTCCAAGTACATTTACGTCTCTCTTCCAAGGCCATGAAACACCTGAGGAGAAGCACTGGACCTCTGAGCTGCCTCCTTATGTCCCCTGACTTCCAGCTTTGTGGTCTCATGTGCCTTTTTCCTGCCTTTTTCCCATGTCCCTATCTTACCCAAGGTTTCCCACTTGGTAGGGGTGATTCCAGGGACAGATCTTGACACTAAGATAAGGTATCCTGTAATTATCTGCATGTACCCAGCTAAGGTAGTTCTTCTTATTGCTGAGGCAAGATCTTTTTTTGGCAGATGCCTTCCCTGCCAGCACATGTGGAAAGATTAACGGACATTATCTGGTCCTTACTAGGAGTGCCATCTTTCTGTACTTGCCTACACCTTCCCTTCTGGTGGTTGCTGTGACCAATGAATGGTATGTAGGAGTTCCATAACACCCCAAAAAGACAAGGAGCCAAAGAGACTGAATTCCTGAAGAGAAAGCAGTATTGTTCTGGTAGCATGCAGTTCAGTTGCCAGCTACCAAGCACTGTTGGCCTGCTGGTGTCTACTATCCTTTACCCCAAATCTTTTACAAGACATGGGGGCAGCAGTCACTGCCCTACCTGTGAAAGGATACTTGGTGACCGGAACTTCTATTCAGGCTGCTGTGTATACATCTTCTTGGACTGTGGTCACATCTGTGGTCACAAGATACTCCTCTTGCCTTCTGAGCTCTGGTTTTTGTAGGGGAGGTAGACAGCCTTCCCTATCAGCCCTAAACCAGAAAAAGTTTTTGAACACCCTCAAAGAGAAAGCATAAATACCATCCATGCCCTTAGCTAGAGGTAGCTTCAGCAGTCATATCCTGCTTCATCCTTCACATACCATACTTCAGATGACCCAAGGATGTGCCAGCATAATCACGAGAGGAAGTAGTCTTCTACTGCAGCCCCCTTTACTCTGCATCCCTTGGGAAATAAGCAGAATCTTCAGGATGGTTGAAAGATGCATTCTTCTACCTGCAGATCCATCACTCCTTCTTTTCCATTTGACAGTCCTTTGCCCCTTTTCTAGCAGTTATGGACCCACATCCCAATAGACCAATGGGTCTTAAATACTGTTAGAGCTTATTACACCATTGGGTTCAACATAGTGCTTATGCCCATCTCCCTTTAGGGGAGGACCTTTCTTACGATGATTTTGCTTTGAGAGTTAAGTCTCCTGCCAGCTAGGCTCAGGAGGCCCCAGCTAGTCTCAGTAGTATTTCTCTAACACAGCAGAGACAATTGTACTGCAGTTCTTGGCCCTAGAAAGAAAGGGAGGATAATATCCTATCTTGGATTTTGTAAACCTAAGCTCCTTCAACTTCATGCTTAAACTCCAAATGCATTAGCCACTGTTATTTAGTCTTTGTAACTGGGGCACTAGCCATTTGGACAGCCCTGCCTTACTTCAACAAACAAAGAGATGCAAGATATTTTCTTCTTATCTCCTCCCTCCATCACAGGCAGACAGAAGATTTATCTCTGGTACTGTTCCATCTGTAACCAGATAACTCTAGGTTAGTATTCATTAACATAATGCTCTGAGACCTATCTCCCCATGAAGTGGGTGTTGCTTTGGGATTGCTCACAATGGAACATGCACATGGACAAGTAGTCAAAGGCAAAGGAGAAATCACAGGAATGGGGTATTCTCTTGGGTTCCAAAACTGTTTGAAGGGAAAATGATTTTATGAGAGATGAGGTGGGGCAGCTAGTTTTAAGATGAGCAGGTGTAAGGAGGGAGGGGGAAAACGCTTCATTTAGCTTCCTGATGTTGATAATGAAGCATTTAGATTTTGGGGGCAGAAGGACAAAGAGTGTTTTGAAATATGGATTAATTTAATGTCTTAACTGGATTCTCCACTTAACAGAGAATGGGAATAATTCTCCCCTACCCAAATATGCTACCTCACCGAAACCCAACAACAGCTATATGTTCAAACGTGAACCTCCTGAGGGATGTGAGAAGGTTAAAGTCTTTGAGGAAAGCTTGTAAGTATCTCTTCATTTGATAAGAAATAAAAATAAACAGGCTGATCTGAAATCAGTATACAGGAAAATGTGGCTAATTAAACACTCCAAAGGATAATGAAGTGCCTGACTGACAAAATATTAGTAGTTAGTCCTTTTCAGCTTTTCCTCAGAGAGATTTTGCATGCCATAAGGATACACTAAAGAATGATTTTTTTGATGTTTATAATGAAAAAAATACAAAAGTTCCAAGTATAAATTGTATACTCTGACTTGCTATATGAGAATTGGAAAATTATATAGATAAATGGTTAATGTAAAGCTGTTAATACAAAACATCAGAATGCATGCTATATAAGAATTACGTGATTCATCAGTAATCCCTCACAGTTGAGGATGATTGTCTTCCATGATTGCTTTATTATTGGGTCCAAAGATTACTGATGAGGCTGATCTGGGATCAACAGACTCTGTTGCAGTTGTGACGTGTTTCCATGCAGGGTGGGTGGCTCTGGAGTGTTGATTTGGTCTGTGACACGTTTCTGTCACTCCCACATGACCACAGGAGGACTGTGTGATTGGAGGAGTGGGGCTGAGCAGCTTCTATTTTAACTTGGGCCCTCAGGGCTGAGCCAGCAGTCTGCTGCTAGCAGCCGGAAGAACACCACCCAGCTGAGCAGCTATTCAGAACATCCATGGAGGTAAGGGCAGGACCTATGGGGATGATAGGAGGCTCCTGGTCCTAGGGCAATGACTGAAAACTATACCTTGATGGGGAAGGATGGCCTGGTGGGGCTTCCCATAGTGGGGTAGTTCCTCAGAAATGCCAGGACAGTTGCCTCCCCAGTGAAAGGTGCGTAGGGGTGCTTTATAACTCCAGCTCCTGCTACCCAGTGGGTAATTTTAGAGCAGGGATAGACATTGGGCCAGGCACATCTGCAGACACCTGAGCCTATGGGGTGTAAGACCTTGAGCCCCAGAGAGGGGGCATAGAGTTGGCCTCAGTGAGGGGGCAGAAAAGGGCCCTGGTGAGGGGTCAGGAGCGTGTAGAGAGGCCTGCACAGAGTAGGGTGCATGGTGACACCTGAAGGGCTGTGCATGAGGGGTGTAGAATAGGGTCTGCCCAGGCAGGCCTGAAGGGCTGCACCAGGGAGCATACAGAGTAGAGTCGTTTGGGAAACCCGACGGGCTACACATGGACCAGCCCCCACAAGTGAGGACATGAGCAAGTTGCCCAGAGAGGGGCTAGTGGCTGAGTTCAGCATAGTGTGAAGTATAAGGCCGGTGGTCACAGGGTCTGAAGGGCTGCGTGTGGGCCAGCCAGAGTGGAAGTAGGAAAACCTGAAGAGCCGTGTAGAGAAAGGCACAAGGGGGACTCGAAGGAGCTGCACGGATCTGTGGCGGGTTGGGAGTGGCCCACTGAGAGCGGGCAGTGTGAATGAGGTGAAGTGAGAGGGGGCAGAGTGTGAGAGTAGAATGCTAGATGCCCAGCAGAGGCAGAGTTTAGCTTGGCCTCGGGCCAGGGTTGTTACCAATTTGCAATGCCGTACATGGGCCACAGTGTAGGGCTGGTCGGAGCCATGTATAATGCCCCAAGCATCAGGGCATTAAAAGGGCAGCCTCCCGCATATTTACGGCAAACTTATTAAACAGCAAGTTGTGGCAGGCAAGATGTGGCAGACTGCCCTAGACGGGTAGGCAGGCCAATGTTTGACTGGTGTAGTAATGGCACCCTGTAACACATTTTCTTGTAGGACTCGTAAAGCTGTCAATGATGGCCTGAAGGTCTGCTTCTGAATAAATGTACACTACAGCATCATCAGTATACTGGAGCTCGATAATTGAGTTCAGGGTGGTCTTGGAGTCAGCTGTTTACCATCCATTCAGTAATTTAGCTCCACTGCAGCTGGAAGCTTGTTGGTGGTCAGATGTAGCATTGAGAAGAGTTGAGAAGAGTGGTGGAGTGATTTCATAGATTTCATAGACATTTGGGCTGGAAGGGACCCCGGAGGATCATCGAGTCCAGTCCCCTGCCCCAGGGGCAGGAAGTCAGCAGGGATCATAGGATCCCAGCAAGATAAGCATCCAAATGTGTCTTGAAGGCGTTCAAAGTGGGTGCTTGAACCGCCTCCAGCAGCAGTCTATCCCAGACCTTGGGGACTCGGACAGTGAAGAATTTCTTTCTTGTGTCCAGCCTGAATCGGTCACAGTGGAGTTCGTGACCGTTCGATCTTGTCATCCCTTGGTGGGCTCTAGTGAACAGACATTCCCCCGGATCCTGATTAGCACCCCTGATAAACTTATAGGTGGCTACCAGATCACCCCTGAGCCTGCGCTTTTCC